CAAACCGTAGGCATATAAAAACCAATGATAGTGAAAGCCATTGACAAATTCCAATTTAAATTCATAAGAAGGCACATTGAAATTATAAGGAATACGGTATAATCCACTTACAATATCCGAAGAATAATTGCAGTCAACTCTTGCCCTATACCCATAAATTGCACGGTTTAAAACACAGGTCCAAATTGGAATAGTTTTGGACATGCTGTCAGGAAATCTCTTCCCTTTCCTTGTCGAATCAACAATCATGCATCCTCCCTGCTGTCCTACCAATCAAAAAGCACAGAGTAGTCACTATACATTATAATATTAAAGAAAATGACTCAACAGATCAACATATGCAGGCACTACACTGATTCAGAACACAGCACATACTTGAAACTAAATCCCATAGTAACGCCAAATTGAACTCAAACATTGCACTATACTATAAGTTCAAGTTTGTATGGAAAACCTACGGAACGTTGTCCTTGCAAATGATGAACTCAAAGAGCATAATATGCCTTTCATCCACCATATAACTCAATAGCTCAACAAGTTATTTACAATAATCAACTTATTAATGTACAGTTAGCAAGAAAATATAGTATCCATGAGTGAGGAACTATCTATTCAATATTACAACTTCTTACATTTGTATTCTCACTTGTTTCACATAAACAACAAAGGGATCAACAATCTAATCTTTTAAAACCTATTAACTGTGTTATGTTGATTTTTAAATCACTTTGATATTGAAAATCTTTGAATCACCCCCTGACACATCAAAGAAGATCATGTTATGCATTGGATTCAAGTTTCTTGGTTGTCGAACAATTTCATCAATGTAGAATGATTAAAACTCACAGCTGACCAAAATTCCGCTATATACACCCCCATGTCAGCTGGTGGCCAATGGCAGAAATCCATCACGCAGAGCCATTCCATTATGGCAGTACCCTAATCGCCATTTAACAACATTGTGCGTAAAAGTCAACTTTGTCCCTTAGAAAGGACTCATGTGTGATATTTATTATAATTCAGACACTGCATAAAACATAAATTTCCACAACACTGTATAGTGAACCCGACTGGTAAGCCTGGGCGGATCTACATAGGGGCCCGTAGGGGCACGGGCCCCTGTAGAAAATTTTAGTAATATAGTGTATATATATATTATATGTATAATGTATTACTATATTGATATAAAAAAATACATGTTATTCATTATTATGTAAAGTCAATTCAATACAAAAAAAAAAATAAAA